CCGTGGGCTTCTGGCAGGAAACTACGGCCGCAGCTCGGCAGCACGGGGGCGTCGCAGCGTGCCGCCGCCGCCGCCGCGCTGCCCCCCCGGGCACGGCGGCGGCGGCAGCAAGCTTGGGCCCAAACGCCGTGCCGCCGAGTCCCGTGGCTGCGACCGTAGACCGTGGGCCGGAAACTGCGCCCGCAGCTCGGCGGCACGTGGTTCTGGTCAAATCGCCAAGCGTGCAGCAGCGCCGAACCACGCTTCCCGGCCTCGGCGCATGCCTTCAGGGGCCCCCTATCGCTGGGCACACCCCTCCAACACCGAACATGCGCCCGGGGGGGAGGGCGGCCCGGGCTGCCCAGGCCAAAGTGGGCCGCCCTCGAGCAAGAGGCGGCCGGGCTGTGTGCTGAATGAATGAATGAATGAGTGCAAAGTGGCCTGCCGCGGCTGTCGGCTGTGCCATTACTCAGTCAGCCGCCGCTATCGTGCCGGGCTTGGCGTTCCCATGCCAACATGCCGGCATGCCATCGCGCAAGGGGCCAGTGAGTGTGTGAGGTGGAGGTGGGGGTGGTGGGGCTGCCGCTGACCGCTGCTTGCTGACGCTGACGCTGCTCTTACCTGCGGGGGGAGGGGGTGCGTCGGGAGCCAAGGCCGGGCAAAAGATGCCTGGGCCCTACTCAAGGGAACCGAGGGAGTCACTGTGCCAGGGCAGCAGCGTGCTCCTCATGGCACCGGTCAGCAAACCGGGCCAGCCGGCCCTGCCTAGCCTGGCCGAGGAAGGTGTCCAAGGAGGGCAAGGCGTGGCCGGGACTGTGGAAGAGCTCAGCATACTCCTCCCTCAGCCCGGCGTATAGTGGGCAGTCATACACTGCGTGGCGTACGTCCTCTAGAGGGGCCTGGCAGTGGGGGCATGGGCGCTGGGTGCGGTCCAGCCGCTGCCACCGGCCTGTCTCCTCAGCCATCCAGTGCGACCCCGTGCGCCACTGCGCCAGGCGCACCCGGCGCCGGCGCTCGGGCACATCGCGCAGGAACGACGCAGGCGCGTAGGCCTCCGCAGAGATGCTGCCCCCCCACACGTCCTCAATGTACCGCTGCACCTTCACGGATGCGTGCGTGTACGAGGCAACATGGCGCTCCAGTAGCGCTTCCGTCAATTCAGGTATGGCAACCCCCTCGTCAGCAGTCAAGTCGCAGGGGGCGCCGGCAGCCGCGAGAACGCGGCTAACCTGCGCTGCCCAGGGCTGCCGGGCCAGTGGCAGCCCCGTGTCCGTGTCGGCAGCCAGCGCAACGCTATCCAGCATGGCAAGACGGGCGACCCGCTCGCCGCCCATAGCCTGCAGGTTGCTCACAAAGCGTGCAACCTGCAAGGTCCAGTAGGCGGGCAGCGGCAGCTGCCCGGTCTCTGCCAGCACAATGAGGGCTGGGGTGCTGTCCCGCACACCCAGCAGCCCTCGCAGGTACTTCAGCTGTACCCGCTCGCATGCCGTCCTGCCCTGCAGAATCAGCTGCGGCGCCCAGATCTCTGCCCCGTACGACAGCATCGGCAGGACGTAAGACTGGAACGCACGCATGCTGAGCAGGGGGTCCTGCAACCCATTCTCGGCCAGGCGGCGACGCAGCAGGTGCATCGCGCGCCGCCCAGCCTCCGCCCGATACGATGCCGCCGAGGCAAAGGCCTGCCGGCAGTGCAGGTGCACGCCGAGGTATCTGAAGGTGGGGACGGTTTCCACCTCATTGCCGTAGCGGAACCGCTCCTCCGTGGCAGCAGCCCTGCCAGCGGTGTACACTACCACCTGGGTCTTTTTGGTGTTAACCGTCAGGCCCCAGGCGGCACAGTAGCTCTCAAGGTAACCAAGCTGGAAACGCAGGCCTGCCGGCGTGGTGGCCAGCAGGGCCTGGTCATCAGCGTAAAATAATGGCGGCACGCACTCCCCGCTCTGCCAGCGAGGCAGAGCCGCGGCCGCAGCCTGTTGCACCAGCCCGGACTCGAAGTCATCCAGGAACAGACCGAACAATATAGGGCTCAAGGGGCAGCCCTGCTTGACCCCTAATCAGGTGGCCTGAAATGTGGGCGTGTACCCACCAGGCACTCGTACGCACATGGGAACCGCCGCATAGAGGGCCTGCACCGCCCGCACCGCCCAGCCTCCCAAGCCGGCGCTCTCCAGCTTCTGCCACAGCAGATGCCGCGGGACCCTATCAAAGGCCTGCTTGAAGTCCACATAGCAGGCATACAACGGCTGCCCACGCGCCCGCTGCCGCTCAATGAAGGGCTGACTGGCTGGCTGGCTGGCCACCCGCTGGCGCCACTCCCGCTGCCCGCCACTCCGCCACGCTGCCATCGCCACCTCCGTGATCTGGCTGGCCGGCAGCCACATGTCGTCATCCGCGCCATACCCCTCAAACCGGCACAGGTACCGCGTGCCACTCCCCCTGCCCCGCTGATCGATGACGCCTTCCATGGTGCACCACTCCTCAGCCTCCTGCGGGTCCAGGCGGGCGGGGGAGGAGGCAGAAGGGGGCGCGGCGGCAGGGGGCGCGGCGGCAGCGGCAGGCGCGGGCTGTGCGGCGGCGGGCTGTGCGGCGGCAGGCGGCGTGGGCGTGGGCGCAGGCATGGTGGTGGTGGTGGGCGGCGGCGGCGGCGCGGCAGGCAGCGGCTGGCATACGGGCTGTGGGGGCTGGCTGGCTGGCTGGCTGGCTGGCGGCGGGCTGGTGGGCTGGCGTGCGTGCGGCCGGGCGATGGCATGGT